ATATATGCATGTATATTCATTTATTCATAAAAGTAATTATGCAAATATGCCTCTCTTTGCTAGGGTCATTTACATTAAATTGTATAGATAGAAACGAAAAGTTGGCTAATCATTCATATTTTTCTACCTATTTACCCATTAAAATACACCCAATTTCCCCAATTTGAAAATGCACCAAGTGTCTTACTTCAGTACTGTATCTATACATTCAGATTATTCCGAAATAGTAACACTCAAAATTACCCATCATAAAACTCAAACACCAATACCAGCAGATTGTTTGCCTTTTTTTTTTGGATACAAAAAAACTAGCTGTAAAAGATTATCTAGAGAAAGTTTTATGATGATAAACAGTGCTGGATATAGTTCGAAGTTCTCTTGAAGTTGCTTTATGAAGACAATAATTAATCAAGTAATGATAGTATACATGGATTTTATACCTAACCAAAAAATATTTCATTTTATTAAACTGATTACAAAATAAAAGATGTTTATTCCATTATTTTCACTTATTTAATTGTATTTTTTAAAAAAATACAGAAAAATCTGCAACTATAAAATCACTATAGTGGATAAATGACCTAGTCTACAAGTGCTACCAAGTTTAATACAGATGTTCAACTGTTATTTTCCAATTTATCACAGTAAAAAAAACAGTTCATTGTAATATAATCTATACTACATAAACTTCAATACAAAGTAATCATCTATTAACTGTAAATTGCATGTATTATACACTATAAACAGATGTTCTGTTAATCAGCTAATTATTTTTCATTAATTGGATAATTTTTTTCCTTTTGCCTGTTTAAAGAGAATTTTTTAATCCACAAACTTCTTGGAAATAAGCATCTCTATATTATCTTGTATTAAAAATAAAAAAAATTCGGCTTTTCTCATGACAAGAAATTAATTTTAATTTACTTAAATATATATAAATACATGGCAAACTGCAGCTAAAATAATTTAAAAAACAGTAATTCCTTCCCAAAAAAAATTCTTTTATCCTAATCTTTATTGATTATTACAGAGATAATTGGCTAAAGAAATATCACGTAATATATTTTTAGAGGAAAAAAATTTTTTTTTTATATGGAAATGATATAACTTTCTTCTTTTTTTTTTACTTAAATCTACTAAATTTGATTTAGTTCAAGTAAAATCACTTGATTAAATAAATAAACTTTTACTTCTTTAGTTTATTATGTACAGTTAAAGCAAATAAAATTCACAGTAGTAGTTTAGCCATTGCTTTAAAATAAATTGTCAAACTTTTTATATCCTGGAGAAATTATATTATATAATACTTTTAGTTAATATCAATTTATGTACATTTGTTTTCTAATCAAAACGACTTATATCTTATTTACCTGTATTTTTTTTTAAGTAAAAGTTTATAAGTAAAATATATTAAAAATGAATAAACATTCCATTTTATTTAAGTGATTATTTATAAGTATTACTCGTATTTTATGTTGTTGTGTCTATTTTAGCATTTTGAACCGAAATTTTTATAGGAATGAAGCAATAATCAGATGATTTAATCAAGTTTTTTAATATGTAACTGATTAAAAGTGATATAAAGTATATCACTGTTTATTGTAAATCATATTTATTTTTAAATATTATATACCTTCTAAATTTCAAAAGATTTGCAATA